TTAAACTAGCCATACCCAATTCTCGCAACCGTTCCTTATATGTTTTAGCCTCCAGTCCCCTAATCATCTTTGTTGCTCTTCTCTGTACTCTTTCTAGAGTCTCAACATCTTTTTACATCGTGGTGACCAAAACTGGATGCAGTATTCCAAGTGTGGCCTTACCAAGGCATTGAAGAGTGGTATTAATACTTCACGTGATCTTGATTCTATCCCTCTGTTAATGCAGCCTAGCACTGTGTTGGCCTTTTTGGCAGCTGCAGAACACTGCTGGCTCATATTTAAGTGATTGTCTACTAGGACTCCGAGGTCCCTCTCACAGTTAATACTATTGAGCATGGTGCCACCTATGCTGTACTTGTGCATTTGGTTTTTCTTGCCTAAATGTAGAACCTTGCTTTTTTCACCATTGAATTTCATTTTGTTAGTTAGAAAAAAAAACACAGAGAAGATAAATGTGGCGCTACTTTTTGAGTTCATGAGCAGTATGAGAATAAAACTTTTCAGTAACCCAACTCACTTTTAGCAGAAGTACAGAAGAGGAAACGCTTTTCCCCTGGTGCTTCCTAGAATCATGATAACCCATATGATGATCTGATAAATTTCTCCAATAGATTTTGGATTAATAATCAAAGGAGATTTTTCCAATTGCATAGTTACGTGGAATAGATTTATATTTGTCTATTTTGTTGAGTTCTACTCTTGGGCTACCTAATTTCATTTAATTATATAGAAAGACATACTTCTATACAGATCTTATTTTGAAAGCTAGTTTTTCAATTCTAAAAACAGAAATGCTTATTACCTCCAGCTTTTAACAATGAAATCTGTGCCTTTTGTATATTCAACTGTCCTTCTCATTATTCCTCAGTTCCAATTATTTATCAGGTTTTTTATTATTGCTCTTTTCTGATTTTGTATTATTCTTTTGCTATTTGATTTTGCTAGCTTTGTAGTTTATTGTTTTTGGTGTATAATCTGTTAAATTAAATATTGGGAATGCATTATTCTTTATATATTTAAGAGGATTATTCAGAAATAACTTGGTCTATTTTAGGACAGGATTTGAGCTCTATAAATAACCCAATCCATACCATATCAATCTATCAGGATCAGGATATTTCAAATATTTATTGATATTTTTATTAAGATTTTCATTTAGTACCAAGCTTAAATTTATTGTTCAATAAGTTAATGGGGTGGGGTGTCTTTATACTAGTTATAATTTATGTTGGTTAGTTTATATTTACTGTCATCCATTTCAGGTTTCTGAAAGGAACCCTTTTCTTTGAAAGATAAAAAAAGTCATGGATAACGTTCAGTTCCTGGTGATAAAATAGACCCAACTACCGTATATAATTTTGTCTTTTGTTTGTTTGGCCATTAATGACTTAATATTGTTTCCATCAGAAGGAAAAGCAGGATAAAATATTTTTTCTTTATTTAATAATTGAAAGATTATATATTTTTTCCATAAGATGAATATACAGGTAAATATTGATGTGCCTTTTATAGTTGCACATTACTGTATCAGTGTATTACAAATTACTTTTATAATAACAAAATAATAAGTAATTAATTTATCCCCAATCTGCAAGAATATGTTCACACATTAATGTGTAAGATGCCTTCAGTGAATCTCAGACCCTGATGACACTTCCTCAACTTTGTCGCTGTTGCCAATTCACCTGATCTCTGTTTTTCAATCTGTTCCTGCATTCCATCTGCATCAATATCCAGCAAGGATTGAACTGAATGCTCTTTTTGTCACAATTCAGGAATTCTAGACAGCACCCAGAGAAAAAGATGGATTAGAGATGGAATGTGGAATGCTGACTTAACGCCTACCACACGAGGCAATAAGGATGGAGAGAGAGACAAACATTGGGGGCTTGATTGTTCCCTGTCTTTGAGTGAATGCTGAAGCTATATCCTTACATAAAAGACTGTTTGTATACTTAGTTATAGAGGAAAGAAATAAAGGGTCTTTGGTGCTGTCTGAGCTTGGTTGTTTTCTTGCAACCAACCCAAACTAGTTTAATTATCTAATCATCAGTGCAGCAGCAGCAGTGAAAGAAATAATTTATAGATGTTTATTCTCATGGGATATACTGTAACTTCTATTCAATTTTTCTTGCCACAGTTACCTGCATTAATTGCTTTTGGTGTGAATACATAAATTTATACAAAACATACCATGCTACAGAATAATTAAGAATTTCCTTTATAGCATCCCAATGCAACTCTGGCTTTAACATTATTTAATTGTGATGGCTAGTTGATATAGATCTGCCTATTTTGTTAATATTTTTTAACAGCCATCGAAGTTAAAGTTTGAGCTGAGCAGAACTCCTGGTGATACTACAGTACAAAATTACATATTTTAATTTTCTTAGCAATAATCTGGAAATGGTCCTTCAATTTTTCAATCTATCCCACAGACTGACATTTTCTGGTGATCTTTCATCCAAATCCTAACCAGATCTAACCCTGTTTAACTTTTTGGATGGTCAGCTAACACTACCACAAATCTAGGCTTTTATAGCCATTTGGGAGTCCAAAGAGAGACCCTCACTTGCAATATTATTTTTTTCCTGGTACAACATTCAAACAAAATGCTTGTGAAACAGCCTTTGTGTGCAGGGTAGAAAAAAAAGTGAACTTTCTTTTACTCATACAAGCATAGTCAACAAACGTGCTTTAGCGGTAGCAGCTAACAATACCTGTCAGAAAACCCTACCTCCATATTCATCAACACAAGTGTGATGGGGCTGGGTGGTTTTGCTCCATCAGGTACTTTTTGGCTATGAAACAAACAAACAAACAAACAAACAAACAAGCCTCAGTTCCTATAATTGGAACACTAGACTGAAATATAGCAAGGATTTGGGCCCCTCAAAAGGGAGAAGAATCCTTCAAATTTTTTAAAGTTGCAATTGTAAGCTGTACCATGATGCACTGGTATTGTTTGGCTTCATCAGCTGTCTCCTTCTTTGCCCAACTTTTATCAGACAAGACAGAAAGCAGGCACTCTTTATTCTGTATGCACAGTAGC